AGACGAAGGTGTTGCTGAAATGTTTTTGAATTTTTTTGGTCGGAACTCCTTTTGCCATGGCCGATTCATTGGCATTTTTAACGGATACCACAGACGGCGCCAATGGTAGTGAAATGGATTTCACTCGGTCCCCTTCAACTCAGACGGCCTCCATATCTGCAAGAACTCAGTGCAGGGAGGGGTTCCGGCGTCGAGCCAAACCAACACTCGCCATAGATAAAGGGTGCAATAAGAGAATATAGTAATAAATGTAGAGAGAATGTGTTTTTTGGGATAACTTAGGCCCCTTTTATAGGGAAGGTGTACCTTAGTGCCGAAGTTTATCATGAGCAACACCATTATGACATGTGTTTTAGCCCATGTGTAGGCTTATTCTCTAATATATTCCTTCTTATCCATTAAAACTTGTCTAGTATGATATTCCATATCAAGGAATATCTGATCCTGTTCGATTTTGAAAATAATGGATAAACCATTATTCATTTATTTATATATTTTATTTATAATACAATCATAATATTGTTTCTGTGCATGGGACCGATAAATTAATAAGTAGAGAGTATTATTTGTACAATATTACTTTTCATTCAAATGGTTAATTAATGCATGTGATGATCATATCTTATATAAAGTTCGTGATTCTAACGCTAATAATTATAATTCTTTTTAGAGTTGTAAAGTTGGATGCAAATATTAAATTACTCACGACTTTTTGTGCATGTTAGCATATATGAAAAATTTATCACGTGAGAGTGAACATTTAATGCTCAATGTACCTGCATGCTTTCATACAACTTTTCCTTTCACTTTTGTGGACATGTAGGGCTAGGATTTGTTCTCATTCTTGTATGGTTAAGATTTCTTGAGGTGTTGGGTTTACTTGCTATATAAAACAATACATTGTATGACATTACTACTGATCAAATGCAACACACCACAGTTTCTATTCTTTTGTTGCATTGATGGCCACCTTTATCACGGCTTTTGTTTTCTTCATGAAAAATCTGATCAAGCTTGGCTTTTTCTGTCATGGTATCAGAGCTGGTTGATCTTGTCTTTGATACCTTTTTTCTTCTTTTATCTCAACATTTAAAGCTTTCATATTATGGCTCAGTCAGCCACAGGCTCTATAGGCCACACAACTCCCCCCTCTTCTCAACTTCAAGTTATTTATTCTCAAAATCATCTCTTGACCCTAAAGCTAGATGAAAGTAATTATATTACTTCGAAACAGCAAGGACTTATCTCCATCAGAGGATATGACCTTGAACATTTTATCCTCGGAGGACAAGAGCCTCCTCAGTTCATTCAACAAAAAGGAAGCCATCTTCCTAATCTTGAGTTCATCACTCACCAAAGGCAAGATCAAATCTTGGCATCTTGGCTTCTCTCATTCCTCTCAGAAGGTCTCTTAGTGAAAATGGTGGGTGTTCAAACCTCAAGGGAGATCTGGAACTTCTATCAACAAACTTCACTAGCCAATCTTTGGCAAAACAGATACAGTACAAACTTCAGTTGCAAACTATGAAGAAATGAAGCTTAAGCATGAGAGAGTTTCTGAATAAGGTGAAGAGTTGCTTTAATTTGTTGGCCTCTGTTGGAGCAAAAGTGTCTAAGAAAGATCAGATCTTGCACATCATTTTAGCCCTTGGCAATGAGTATGATCCAGTGATGATAACAATAACCTCAAGGATGGACACTTAGACAGTTATGGATGTTTAGTCTTGTTGTTGAGCTATGAATCTAGACTTGAAACAAATGGAGTTATTAACAACAACAATGGATATGTAAACATCAATGCTGATGGATCTCAACCATCATTAAACCTTACTCACAGTGGCCAGAAAGGCAACGTTTAGAACAACAATTCAAATGGACCAAGAGGAAGAGGCTACTGTAATAGAGGAAGAGGATGATCTAGATGAGGCTATAGAGGTCGAGAAGGCCATTTTCAAGGCCCAAATCTGTTAATCAAGTTTGTCGGATCTCAGGGCACACAACAGATAAACGCTGGTACAGATTTGACACAAATTTCACTCAAAATCAACAAAGTGGATCACCTTCCCACAGCCAGCATAATGTTTCCAATGCTTTTCAAGGGGGTTTCCCTTGGAGTCCTTATATTCACATTGCTCAACTGCCTTCATCCTCAAATTTTCTGTCTGAAAGCAACATGGATTCTCTTTGGTACCCAGATTCAGGAGCCTCCAACCATGTTTCAAATGATCTGAGCAACCTCACTAGTGTGTTTGAATATCAAGGTAGCAACATGTTGCACATGGGTAATGGAGTTGGTGAGTACATTTTTCATATTGGTAAAGCTCAACAGAAATCACCATTATGCTGTAGAACCTTTATTTTAAAGAAACTCCTTCATGTACCTTCAATCACAAAGAGCCTACTTATTGTTTTTGAATTTACAAATGATAACAAGGTTTACTTTGAATTTCACTCTAATTCTTGTGTTGTTAAGGATCAACTTACTCATCAAGTCCTGCTCAAAGGAACCCCTAAGGAAGGTTTATATCAGTTCAACTTCTCCAGTCCAAGTTCAAGTTCAAAGGAAAATCATCACCCCTCTAGTCCCAGTGTTAATACAGTTTTTAATTCCAAGAAATGTGGTCTTGATCTTTGGCAAAAAAGGCTAGGACATTCAGCCTCTGATACTGTAATAAAAACTTTGAAGGATTGTAATGTGTCTTATGATGAAAAAACCATGAATGAAATTTGTTCTTCTTGTCTTCTTGCTAAAGCTCATAGACTTCCATATTCTTTGTCTGATTCCTTGTGTGAAAATCCTCTTGAGCTTGTGCACTCTGATTTATGGAAGCCCTCACCTGTTAAATCTAGAAATGGTTTTCAATATTATGTATATTGATCATGTCAACCGGTTTACTTGGCTATATCTTTTAAAGTCCAAATATGATACCTACCAAGCTTTTATTCATTTCAAAAAGCTTGCTGAAAACCAGTTGAATAAGACCATAAAGACAGTTCAAACAGATTGGGGTTGTGAGTTTAGGTCCTTGTCAAAATTCTTTGTTGATCATGGGATTCGACACATATTATCTTGCCCATATACACCTCAACAAAATGGAATAGCATAGATGACACATAGACATGCTGTAGAAATGGGACTTTTCTTACTTGGTGAATCTTCTTTGCCTTTACACTTTTGAGATAATACTTTTGTTACTTCCTGTTATGTCATAAATAGAGTTCCCACCAAAGGTCTTTCTTACAAAAGTCCACTTGAAGTTCTGTATGTACACAAGAATAATCTACTCATGATGAACACTTTTGGTTGCCTTTGTTATCCTTATGTTAAACCCTATAATAAACACAAACTTCAATTCAGGTATGACAAAGGCACATTCATAGATGTAGCCTAAACCACAAGGGTTATAAGGTTCTTTTGTCTTCAGGTAAAGTGATTATCACAAGAGTTGTGATTTTTGTTGAGGAGCATTTCCCCTTTAAACAAAAACTGAATCCTTCAAAACAGTTCATTTCACCTACTTATATATTCTCTAATATAGCTCCATGTGTCATGGATTTCTCTCCTATATATCATCAAACCCCTACTCTCTCCACAAAATCACTACATCATCCTCCTCACACACCATCTTCATCCATACACAATTGTCCACACTCATCCAGTCCAAGAAACTCTGAACACTCAAACTCTACTATACCCTAATATGTTGAGCTACTAAATATGGGAAGTGATATTCATAAACAAAATACTCATGTGCATAATTCTCATGCTGTTATTCCTTCTTTGCATCTTATGATTACAGATAAAAAAGATGGATTTTCAGGCCCAAGATCTACAATGCTAGTCTAATGAAGACAAAACCAAGTAGTGTAGTAGAGACTTTGGCAGACAACAATTGGAAGAAAGCAATGGAAAGTGGGTATGATGTTTTGTTGAATAACCAGACATGGACCCTTGTTCCTGTACCTCAAGGATAGAATATAGTTGGAAGTAATGGGTTTATAAACTAAAGAGGAACTCAGACAATTCTATCAACAAGTACAAAGCTAGATTAGTAGCCCAAGGCTACTCTCAAACTGTTGGTTTTGACTTCTAGGAAACCTTTAGTCATGTTGTCAAACCTACCACTATAAGAATTATGTTGACTATTGATGTGAACTTAGGTTGGAAGATCAAGCAACTTGATGTCAGTAATGCCTTTTTACATGGAGAATTGGAGGAAAATGTCTACATGAGACAACCACCTAGTTTTGAAGTCAAATATGAAGATAATAGACCTCTTTTTTGTAAAATGAAAAAGGCCATATATGTTCTGAAGCAGGCATCAAGGGCTTGGTTCACCAAGGTCAAAGATGTGGTCCAGAATCTAGGCTTCAAGAATTCCATTGTTGATCCTTAATTTTTCTTTAAAACAAATAAGGAGATACAAGTGTTCTTATTGATCTATGTGGATGACATCCTAGTTACTAGAAACAATGACCAAGTTGTTGCTAATTTCATAGAGAATATAAGGAAGGCTTTTACTGTCAAAGACCTTAGTGAACTTCATCATTTCCTTGGAATTGAAACTAATCATACCATTGATGGAATACACTTGTCTCAGCAAAAATACATCCACATCTTATTGAAGAGAGCAGGTACGGAGAATGTTAATGGTAGTGTAACCCCTATGATATCTTCATCAAAACTTTCCAAACACTCTGAAGGATCATCCTTTAATGTAACATTCTACAGAAGCATTGTTGATGGATTGCAATACTTAACCATAACCAGACCAAAAATAGCCTTCTCAGTCAACAAAGTAAGCCAATTTATGGCTTCTCCCCTTGATATTCATTGGAAAGCTGTTAAGAGGATCTTGAGATACCTCAGTGGTACATCCTCCTTTGGTTTGCATTTGACCAAGGCAAATGATTTGAAGATAGTGGAATTTTCTTATTCTGACTGGGCTTTTGATCCTGATGACATGAAATCAGTTACAGGTTCATGTGTGTTCCTAGAAGGAAATCTTGTGGCTTGGTCATCTAAAAAGCAAAATGCAATCTACATATCGAGCATTGATGAAGAATATAAAACTTTTGCTCACATAAGTGCTGATATCAACTGGATACAGTCCTTACTTTTTGAGATTGACATTCAATCAAAGCACAAGCTAGTAGTTTAGGTGGATAATTTAGGTGCTATATCTATTGCATCTAATCCCATCTTACATTCTCGAACTGAGCATATAGATCTTGATATCCATTTCATCACAGACAAGATTAGCAGAGATCAGCTTGCTGTTCAACATGCTCCTTCCTCAGATAAATTGGCTGACATATTCACTAAGCCTTTGAACCATCAATCCTTCACTCGGTTGAGACACTCTCTTGGAGTTAAAAGTCTCACCTCGCTCGTCTTGAGGGGGCATGTTAGCATGTATGAAGAATTTGGCACGTGAGAATGAACATTTAATGCTCATTGCACCGAATGGGTTGAAGCCATCAGCTGCAAGTCCGAGACGAACATTACGCCTCTCACTAGAAAAATCTAGATGTCTAGCATCAAATTCACGCCAGGCTTTGCCATCTCTTGGATGAGTCATCACATATTTATTATACTCAATACTATGCCAACGCATAAGTTTTGCCGTCTCTTCCATCGCGAATAATCTTTTCAATCGTGGGATGATCGAAAAATAACGTAAAACTTTATGTGGAATTTTGCTTCTAGAACATTTTCCAATGTTCTCTCTCCAGCGTGATTCCCCACATACTGGACATTCTTGTCTGTCAACATACTCTCGCCAAAATAGTGCACAATCATACTTGCAGACATGTATACTCTTATAGCCCAAGCCCAAGCTCGCTAACAACTTTTTAGCTTCATAATATGAGTTGACTAGTTTTGAAGGAAATGCAAGTTTAAGCAACTTAAGTAACTCATCAAATGATTTATTTGTCCATTTTCCATTCACCTTGATATTCATCAGCTTTACTAGGAAATTAAGAGAAGAAAATGATGAAACACCTTGATATAATTTAGTGTTCATAGCATCATACAAGTTATGATATTGCTCATCGTGGTCCTCCATCCCATACTCCTCTGGATTCAAGTCTGCCATCACAGTCTCCATTTCATCCATCATCTCAAAGTCTAGATTCGACGAACCAACTTGGTATCCTGGTAAACATTCTCCATGGTGAATGCATGTATTATAAGATGCATCAAATCCAAACCTCTCAATGTGAATCTTAACGGCTTCTAAACTTTGAGATTGCACATTTAAGCATTTGTTGCACGGGCATTTAATCAAACCTTTCTTATTTACAAGAGGCCTACAGTGCTTAATAAAATCTTTCACACCATGCTTGAACTCTTTAGACATCCTATTTTTTATATTTATCCATGCTTTATACTGTACCTGAAAAAATACAATAAAAATAAATGTATATTCCAAAAACAAATATAAATAAATATTTATAAACTAATACTAAAATTAAATATATAAAAAAAAATCAAGTAATAAAATTAACTGTTGGGTAGTGTATTTTTAATATTTAAATTTTATCAATCATAATTAATTAGGAACATATATATATATATATTAGTTAGATATAGACCCTAGCAGAAATTTTTCGACGTATAGTAGAATGCAAAGTAGCTTGCTAATCTTGCATTTTCTTTGTTTCGTCTTACTTATTAGTTTATCTGTGATGAACTTTCTTAAAAGATCATTGTTTTCCTTTCTTCAGAATCAAGATGAATCTAATGTGCTAAAGTATTACACACGTAGGATGACCAGGAATTCCTAAACTATTTGTTAAATGAACTAGTTAACATACTGGAGAAAGAGGCTCGAGCTACTAAAAGTGATCAAGAAAGGAAGGAACAAAGGCTGGAAAGGGGCGTCTATAGGGGTTATCGGATTGCAGTGATAGAAGGCAGATACTCGCATAGGGTATTTCGGTGATTTAATCCATCAGATATTAAAGTGTATTGATCAAGGTTGTCTTGATCTCAAAATAACTTTTTTTATTACTATCTCTTACTCATTAAAGTAAGTTAATTTCAATCAACTAAAAAATTCTTCATAAAGTGCTTAGTTATTCTAATTTCTTGTTCCATTCCGGATAGGTGTTGAACATTCTTGGAGCTTGAAGCCATCACTTTATGCATTAGTTTGAAGCTAAGTCAAGAAAATAAAACTCACTATTCCTAATGAAAGAAGCTGCAGGTGCCTATTTTCACCATCAGAGATAAGAAGCAGAGATAAAGATACAAATGAAAGGTGAGTAATTTAATTTATATTCTTACTATTTACATATTATCAGTTTGTGTTGCACTACTCTGTATAAAGTAAACATTCCTCCACAGCTACAATTGATAGTGCTATAGAAAACAATTGCATGAATGGATATTGAAGATATACCTTAATCTTCAAGAATTGCTGTCAATGAATGGAGAAACAGGGAGAAATGAGAATGAACTATGGCAGAGTGTAAATGTGTTGAATTGTTGGTGAGGAATTGAATGAAAGTAGATAGTGGTAGATGGTTAAATCAATACAGTGAAAGTTTATTGGAACGACATGTACTATCTATACGCACGACAAGTCGTTCTAATTAATATGACATTAATTGATCTGCAGGCATTTGGTCACACGGTTGGTGGGTCATTAAACTGACATATTTTATTGGCACAATCAGTATATCTATTACAACGACATCCTGTTGTTGCTAAAGAATCGCGCTTATAGTAAGAACATTTGAAATGTTGACACGACATTTTGCGTTGTAATAGAGCAAACTATTTATGGGCACGACAATTTTATGTCGTTGCAATATATATTTCTATTGGCACAACGTAGTTGTCGTTCCAATTTTGTCGTTCCTCTTAAGCTTGTTTCTTGTAGTGTTGTACCTGCATGCTTTCATGCAACTTTTCCTTTGGCTCTTGTGGACATGTGTAGGGCTAGGATTTGTTCTCATTCTTGTATGGTTAAGATCTCTTGAGGTGTAGAGTTTACTTGCTATATAAAGCAAGACATTGTATGACATTACTACAAATTAAATGCAACACACCACAATTTCTATTCTCCTGTTGCATTGATGGCCACCATTATCATGACTTTTGTTTTCTCCATGAAAAATTTGATCGACCTTGGTTTTTTCTTTCAGTGCACAACATAAAGCAACTTATTTATATAAATGACTACAAATAAATTATTTTTAGTTAATACTCTGTCACTGCATGTTTTACATAATCAACTTTTCTATGATTTGACTATTTCACTGTTATCATGTGCAACAGTTTGAAGAATTATGATTAAATATGTAATAATTACCACATTTATATTTTTTCTATCTTCATTTTTAGTTGATGTAATCACACATAAATTTATTGACTATTTAGTGTACGTGTTCATGTCTTACACGTGGGCACATACACTAATATTAGGTTCTCGGAAGTCGTGATAATTTAATTATGAACACGCGAAATATAAATTAGTTTCTCTTATTGACATTCAGCGTATCTAACAACTTTTCTATGATTTGACTATTTTACTGCTATCATGTGCAACAGTTTGAAGAATTATGATTGAATATGTAATAATTATCATATTTATATTTCTTCTATCTTCATTTTTTAATTGATGTAATCACACATAAATTTATTGACTATTTAGTGTACGTGTTCATGTCTTACACGTGGGCACATACACTAACATTAGGTTCTCGGAAGTCGTGATAATTTATTTATGAACACGCGAAATGTAAATTAGTTTCTTCCATTGACATTCACCGTATCTAACAAATAAAGCATGGAATGAATCTACGTATTCTAATTGATGGAGAGAAGACTAATTTAAATTAATTTTACTATTAAATAAAGCCTCTGAGCATTAGAATAATTAATTATGTAGCCAATAATTTCTTACCACAACTTTTAGATGTAGTGTGCCAGGTTGAACTTCAAGAATCAGCCTTGCTGCTCAATAACAGGAGCTTGGTGGAGAAGAAGATGATTGTCCTTGTGGAGGAAGTGTTGGCGGGTGCATTTTATATTTCTTCTTGTTGTTTTGTTTATAGGCAAAAATCCATTTTTGGTCTGCTAATTTGTCCATTTTCCACCTTTGGTACACTATATTTCGCATCATCAAAAATGGTCCATTATGTTACACTTTTCATCAGTTTTAGTACGCTACTCCAGTTGGCGGGGTTACAAGATGACGTGGACCGGGATTTGAACTACGTGGAGGGATAAGATATTGACGTGGTAGGATAAAAACCTGATTTGGCATCTCGTAATCCCAGGCCACGGGATTAGTGTACTAAAACTGATGAAAAGTGTAACATAATGGACTATTTTTTATGAGGGGAAAGATAGTGTACCAAAAGTGGACAATGAACAAGTTAGCGGACTAAAATTGAATTTTTGCCGAGTGAGCTTAGTCAGTTAGTCTTGTGTTTGGCTTAGTGAGCCAAGTGAGGGCTTGAAATATGGTTCAATGCCTGGATGGATATGTGTTGCTATATATAATCAGTGGTATTATGCTTTGCATTTCTTTGACTTTAATGTTAAGTTTGTCGTTTAGAAAAAATAAACGAGCTTAATGTTTAATAATTACCTCAAATCGATATTTTCAGTATCTTCAGGCATTAATCGATGCTATTACACGTATTTTCTGTATACGAACTACTTAGGGTATGTGTTCTTGTCATGACTTTAATGTTAAGTTTGTCGTTTGGAAAAAATAAACGAGTTCAATGTTTAATAATTACCTCAAATCGATATTTTCATTATCTTCAGGCATTAATTGATGCAATTACACGTATTTTCTGTATACGAACTACTTCGGGTATGTGTTCTTGTCATGTCATACGCGTGGAAAAATTTCCATACAAGAAAGACATGTTTTTTTTACAGATGAAGTTGGATATGTAGACATTTTTGAAGTGACTCAGACGATCTAAGTCTGTTTTTTATTAATATTGTTCATATTTTTGTAGTATCTAACACAATCTGGTTTTCTGTTTCTAATGTTTTATTATGAGTCCGCATCATTGATGAAAATATGAAAATTTAGAAAAGTTGTTAATTAAATTGTTCTGAAATGTATAAACAACAACAATAATCTATTAAGCGCCTACTGAGATCTTAGAAAATGAATTAGTCTGTTTCTGTTTTGTAAATGTGCACAAAATAAATTATATGATGCACTCTTATTGCAGCTCGTAGCAGATGTCCAAAAGCACAAGTATATATATGATGGAAGTGTTACAAAATAAACATTGTTAAACATTATTTAAATTAACAAACTTGATGTGACCAGAGATGTATTGATTGCATAAGGCAAAATAAATTTACTGAACCTCTATTGAACACCATCCATGAAGTCCAAAGCACAAAATGACCTAATAATAATAATAATAATAATAATAATAATAATAATAATAATAATAATAATAATTGATTAATTAATTTATCCAATCAAATAAAAAACATTCAAAACCATCTTCAAACAATCAAAACAAGAAGAAATTAATCACAACAGCATTGACTCCTTGGCCAAACTCCACATGTCACAGCCGATCCTGGCCTGGCTCGGAGCCACTTCCAGCCCGGTTGGACTGTCCGCAATCCTCAGTATGTAGCTATTAAAATCTTCTTCTTTTTCTACTTCTTTTTCCACATTACTCCTCATCCTCTCCTTCCTGGACTCGATGTCCCTCAGGACCTTGTCCATAACAATATCCATCTCGTCCACGTCAGCAGGGTCCAAGTCCGCCAGCCTGGTGGTCCCCTCCACGCAGCTGTACATGAACTTTTCCAGCTCCCGCCGCTTATTCTCCCTTTGGGCCCGACTCAGCTGGGCCCGCACTCTCGCGATCCGCTGTTGGGTGAATGTTTCTTGGCTCACCATTTTGCGGCTCTTGTCAACGTCCTGGAGGCCGTTAAAGCGGGCCACCACAAGTTGGGCCTCGGCCCAAGATGGGTACACCTCAGCCTGTCGCTCGTAACCGCTGTACACTATGGTACAAACCGGGACATCGCACAAAGTCCCGATTTCGCGGGCCTTGTTCCGGAAACCTCTCATCCTTTTGCGGAATGAGGCTTTCCGGTCAGAGTCGCTATTAATGTAAGCTAGGGTTACTTTCTTTCTAGTCATTTTTATTTTTTATTTTTATTTATTTATTTTTTTTTTGGGTGATATTGCTTGTTATAGCACATGTGTGTATATATAGAGGCTTTAAGGGGATCCGATTGATTGGATTTTTTTTTGAATTGCT